ATGATCTCATCGCTCTTGAGTGCCATGAAGTAGTGGTGTTCTATCTTCTCCTTTGAATACTTTTGGGTTCTGTTGTGGAAGTCTAACGGATCGATCACTTCGCCGATGTATTCCATTATAAATGTATTTCTAATCGCATTCAAAATTAACAAATAAATTAAGACAAAACTAAACACTTGGCACACATCAGGTCTTACGGCTGTAATGGTTCTAATGTTCTTAAACCCCATCCCTTCTTAGCGGTCCGGAAGGGCTCTATTTTCGCGTATTGACGCTATTATTGCAAAAACAAATCAATTAAACAAATCCTAGTTTATTGTATTTATTATATAAAATAATACCTTTTGAAAGCGTTTGTTTGCGCAGTGATCTCCTAATGCACAGCGAGAACCACTAATTCAAACAAATTAATCAATTAATTACTAAAATTATTAAATATTAATTTCAGTTACCATTCAATCATAAGCATCCGATTGAGACAATCTTCGCCGCAACCAACCAAACCCCTCGTCCGCTCCTCTTTGGTTAAAATACAGTCGCAAACCATTCTTCGCGTTTCCTTTTTGCTCTTTGATTTTCGCCTATAATTTCATGTTTATTATAATTACAATCTTCGCCGCAACCAACCAAACCCCTCGTCCGCTCCTCTTTGGTTAAAATACAGTCGCAAACCATTCTTCGCGTTTCCTTTTTGCTCTTTGATTTTCGCCTATAATTTCATGTTTATTATAATTTAAACATAAATTAAACATAATTTTAAAAGATTACAAGATTTGATCAAACCTTTCAAATAAGTAGTTATTTTCGGTGATCATCTCGAATGTGGGATGAGGTTCGGTCTCTTTGGGTATAATAATGGGAACCGTTTGTGCGCCTTGTTTTTGGTGGTGATCGGCGGCAAAGTACAATCTTCGCCGCAACCAACCAAACCCCTCGTCCGCTCCTCTTTGGTTAAAATACAGTCGCAAACCATTCTTCGCGTTTCCTTTTTGCTCTTTGATTTTCGCCTATAATTTCATGTTTATTATAATAACTTAAAAAGATTACAACATTTTATCAAACCTTTCAAATAAGTAGTTATTTTCGGTGATCATCTCGAATGTGGGATGAGGTTCGGTCTCTTTGGGTATAATAATGGGAACCGTTTGTGCGCCTTGTTTTTGGTGGTGATCGGCGGCAAAGCCCGGCTGATGGCCGGACTCGAGTTCGCTGTTCCGCCGCCACCGGGACTTGAGTTTCTGCGGCAGTGGACACGAATCGTCCGAATCTGTTGTGCACTTATTGGACGACTGAACGCATGACTTATTGTGGCGAATGTTCTGGTAATGGGATGGCGGAAGGGGTGGTGTGAAGAACTCGGAGTGATGTGAGTTCTCGTTGTTTTCATCGTATGAATGGTATTTGTCGTCAACCAAACACTTCTTCTTCCGTTTAGTCGACTTCTTTGAATCACTGCTTTTCTCTTTACTCTTATTCTTATCTTTTTTCGATTTCTTTTTCTTCTGTTTTGTAGAGACCGACGACTCGACCACTGAATGCTGCGATTCGTTGGCATCGGATGTGTTGACAATACTGGAGTCACGGCTGGTGTCGTCTATATCTGTCTGTCGATTACCGTAATAACCCTTTTCCTGCTCTTTGCGCGCCTCCAATGTCTTGAGACGACTGCTTCGCCGTCGGCTCAGATCGTCGTCGTCTTCGAGGAGTTGTGTCGCCATTTGAATCACAAGTTTGTCTTTATTGGTGGAACCGGCGGGTCGTCCGCGCCTTTTGGTAGACCTGTTGGGAGTGGTGTTGGGAGAGGCGGCCGCCGATGACGGCTCACTCATGTCATGTGCACTGCTTTCGCTTTGAGTACTCATCGTCTCAATGGAAGCGCCCAAAGCTCTATCAAAGCCGATGTCGAGGCAAATGTCTTCGCCGTTCAAAACAGGCGTATTGTTGTCTTCGCACGTATTGTCGGAGTTGTCGTTCAAAATACGGAATTTCCCGAACTTTTTCTTATTGACGGCCAAAACGGACGAAACGTTTGTACTTTCATTGCTGTGAGAGTTGTCGGCATTGCATGGGTTGGAGGCGTGGGAGGCGTTGGAGGGGTTGAGCGGCACTTGACTGCCGCCACCACTACTGCCACCACTGCTCCCACTGTTGCCACTGCTGTTGCTATTGTCCGCACCAGTCGTGCCATCACTTCCAGGCTCTGCACCCATACT